GCGATCTCTCATCTGTAGCGCTCTCTCGCCTCATACTCTCCTCTCCGCGCTTAGTCTCTCATTCCCTTAGCACAGCCGATTAGGAAGGTGAGTGAGCCCTTAACCTGAGCGTTTTTGACGGATTCTTTTCCTTTTTTCTTTACTGCCGGCCCATTTCGCACCAATACATTCGCATTCGTGTGCAAGAGCCACACCAATGTGATCCTGGGGCATGCCTTTAAGGTCATGAGCGCCCCTCATTATTCAACGTGCTACTCAATCTATGTTCATCGCACTATTTCAAATATTTATTTTATACGACTACTATTTTGTTTAGGTTCATTTGCCATGAACTGTTCGGGGTGGACATTTTATTGGACGAAGATCTCAAACCGTGGCTTTTGGAGGTATGACTTTCTCTGGCTATCTCTTTTGTTGGTTTCTTTGCGATAATACCTTTTTTTCTCGAATACTACTCGGATCTCAATGATTATTCGAGAATCTCGTACATTGTCTTTCATTCGCCCTCTGATCCCACAAGATTAATGCCGTCTATAATGCCGGCTTAGTTTGATGAGTTACATCGAGCCTCTTGTCCAATAATGGGGCGGCAGAGCAGCGAGAAAGTAGAATACGCAAATGCAGGGAATCAAAAGCAATGAATGAAGGAATTCAGAGTGTTTGTTATTAAGCCCCGGGATTGATATGAACTTTCATTCGGCTAAATTTTCGGCGAGCTCGCCTAATTCGGAGCTTGTAAAACCCAGAGTATATAATCGAACCAATACATGCAAATACCGTTTCAGATATTTGAGGAGCATGAGGGTGTATTCAGGGTTGTCAGCTGATGACACAGTATGGGAGTGGGTGATGTTGTGAGAGCTATTGGTCCTCGACGTAGATGGGAGATTGTTCATTTGAAAGAATTTCTGAGTTCACCTCCTTTGTGTAAATTCTTTGAAAAAAAAAACTTCGCCCATGATTGTATTTTATGAATGAAGCTTGTTCATGCCAGCGCTGACTTAGAAATGTAAACTC